CTTGTCATTATCCTCCCTTGTATTTATCCATATGTTGTAGATATCCTAATCATTATAGGATTAGGATAATCATCCCCTTTATTTGTAGCAATCCTTATCTCCTAAGGAATATGCTTTATTCTCTTGTATGTATATATATATGTGTAACCACGTGATTAATAATACAATGAGAGTTACAACCTTCTTTATTCTTTAACAAACTCATCTTAGTAACTATTAATCTAAATAACATTATGTTCACTTCGGATTGAATTTGGTTTGGAAAAAAATCGTGGAATCAATAGGATCTAATTTATTAAAACAAGATCACCCTTATTATTTACCCTTACAATTCCCTGGAATATTATTTCTACTGTCACTGGACTTACTTTTCAAAAATATTAATTGCCACATTATGGTTACACATATAATAAATTAAACAACTATAATTTTATTTTTAACATTTAATATAGATACATAATAAAAGAATTCTAGCAAATATACTCCCTCCGTTACATATTAAGTGTCGTTGTAGAGAATTTTTTGCGTTATAAAATAAGTGTGTTTTCGGTTTTCAATGCAAAATTTATTAATTTTATTATGTAATTTGTTTTTCTATTGGTTAAAATATGGTTAGGTGTATGGGTAATTGTGTTGTTATATAGGAAATATGTAAAATTAATTGTTTTCTTAATCCGTGTGCACAGCTGTGGAGTGACTTATAATGAAACAGAGGGAGTATTTCAATTTTTATTTCGAAAATAAACCCACCCTTTAAAATGGCGGGTCAAAATCTAGTATTGTATTAATAGGATTTTTGGTTCGGTATTGATTAATAGCTTTTATTTGAATAGAAACATGAGTTGATTACTTGGGCTGTTCTCTAGTTCATATATGTACACAATAAAGTGAAAGAACTATCTACAAACACTCATTCTCTGCGTTTGGATATTAGGTTCTCGTGAACCTTTGGGCGATGGGACAAGACTCAAGCGTGTGGGAGAATCCAATGAAGTTCGAGCCAGAGAGGTTCTTGTCACGAGAAATCGATGTAAGAGGCAAAGATTTTGAGCTGATACCGTTTGGGTCAGGACGAAAAATGTGTCCAGGAATCTCAATGGCATTGACGACAATGCATATGGTGCTTGCCTCTCTTCTCTATTCCTATGATTGGAAACTTCAAAACGGTGTCATCCCTGGAGATATGGACATGAGTGAGCTCTCTGGTCTTACTTTACATAAAGCCAAGCCTCTTTATGGTGTACCTATCAAGAAACCTACAGTATCTGTTTAATATTAAATGTGTTAATCAACACAATAATAACACAAGTGCATCTCTACTAGATGACACATCAGCTTTTTAATACATTATGGAATCACCATATTAATAAATGAAAAAATTATAAAACAATAAAAATATTTGAATCTTACACATCATATTTAATCAAGTTTACACATCAGCATTTATGGTATTGAGACTTGTAGAGATTTTATGCTTTGAGTCTCTGCCTCTTCATCTTGGGGTTACATTTTTCATATTTTCGGTCATTCAAGTTATCATTAACGCGATGAGGCAGTTTGGTAAAGACTTTGTGAACCAATTGTTATGCTCACGGGTTCGACGCCAGGCGGGGAACTATCAGTTCTTGTCACTAAATGCGGTACTAGGTGTTGGGACTTGTTCCCAACCCAGATAAAACCCTCTCAGGTGAAGTGGACCACTGCATGACCGGACCCAGAGGAATGATCCACGTAAGTGGGAAACCTTTGGATTATTAAAAAAAAAAAAAATTATCACGTTGGATTAGTTTCTCTGTTTGATGCCGTGTATGATTGATTATGAAGGCGTATGAAAGTTGAAATTTCAAACATCAAGTCCAGCTCGTCAACTTGTCTATGAGCTTTTATTTCATTTTAGTGTATTTGATCAACAAACGCAAGTTCTACTGTGATTATAAATTCTAGAATTGAACTGCTAATAAAGAAAAAAAAAAGACTTGAATTACTCATATGATCTATCTACAAGGTATAATGGACATTCTGGTAGATATTTTGTATGAAAAAAGCTTGTAGTATTAGTCTGAGGAGATACATTGTTCTTAGAAGCAACAAATTAAACTGTTTTCTTTGCTAGCACTTATTCATTCAATGTTACTGAAGGCAAAATCATCAGACAAGTACATCAACAAAAAGTTCAGTTTTGTTTATTCTGAGTTCTCATAGTATGTGTTATACGTTCAGGAAATAGTGCACAAAGTTTTAATTAGGATTGATCTTATATTCTTGTTCTGACATTCTTCGTTTAGAAATATCTATTTTGATGCTTGACGAATATACAGATCTCATACAAGAAAAAAGAATAAGAATGTTACAGGATTAGATTATTTCGCCACAACTCTTTTACATCAACCTTCTTCGAAGAACCATCTAAAACAATGCATGCTGGATTTTGGTGTTTTAGGTTCTAAAGAAGTAAGTTTCAAGGTGATGTGAGCCAGAGCAATTTTTTCATATGTTAACAACCCGAGAATTACTTTAATTAGATTTCTTAACTGAATTTAATATAAGATAAGAGCATGGAATTATTTGTCTTGATTTGATAAAATAAAAATAAGATAAAAATATTCTCCACATGTTAACACAGGTTCGATCCTAGTAAATTACTGTTTTAATTTAAATTGGTAAGATAAGAAACTACATAAATCACATATTATATATTCATAAATATACAGTATATATATATATATATATATATATATATATATATCCTCAACTATAAATAAAATAACCAGTATAAAATTCACCACTGCATGACTGGTTTAAAAACATCAAATGAGCATAATTTATACATAGAAATTAAAAATCAACTGAAAAGAAGAAGGAAAATATCAACATTTTATAGAGTAGAGGGAACATTCATAGCTCCTGCTAAACATCCATAACTACAAATGACTTGAAATTATAAATATTCACCAAATTAGTAAAAACTCACACCACCAGAAGTTGCAAGACAAGCTCCTTTTTTGTCATCTTTATTTTATTTATTTACACATATATAGATTGATATGTCAAACTCTCTGACATTACCTTTGAATGCATATTCAATATTATTGTTAGACCGTGGAGCCTTAAAACAAGATATGTCTATATTCTCAACACATGAAATTTTATTGCCCGCTCTTACTCATAAATGGGTAAACCACAATAATGCAAATCTACAAAAAGTAAATGCAAACAACTATAAATACACACACAAATCTTTTCGACACTGTTCTAAAAATCTACCTCTAATTATTGGTCACTAGCTACTCAAACCTTCAATGGATTTATAAAATTTTAGAATTCATTGAAAGAAATAGTAATAACTACGAGTAATATTACTTTTATTCAAAATTCAAAATGGAAAAAAAGAGTAGAAAATAGATAGTATAGCAATTTGTCGGTCTAAACATCTTATTATATAAAATTTGTTTCTTCAAAGTTATCAATTAACAAGATTGTGATATATGGCAATTATATATTTATAATTGTGACATGTGTTAAACTATTTCATAATTAATATATATAATAACAAAAAGGAATTTTGCTAAACCATTAACTAGAAATATTATGTAATACTAATTTTCCATTTTTTTAAATCCTAAATAAAGGATATTTACAAAAATATATTTGATAGTAATTTTCCATTTAATATTTTGGTATGTATTAAAATTCTCATGATTTAAGATATATATACTAAGATAATAAAAAATAATTGCGAAGATATTAACTTTAAATTTTTTAAAACTTAAAAGAAAAAAAGAAGCTAAAGGTTTTTAATTGTAGCTTTCCTTTTTACAAATCCTAAACACAAATATTTTAAGTAAAACAAAAAAACTAATTTTGAAAATAATAATTTTAAATATTGTTTAAAAATAAAAATAAATAAAGAGTGTTTAATTGTAATTTTCCTTTTTTAAAAATAGTTTAGTTGATACTAAGATAATGAAAACAAATATTTTATAGTAATTATCATTTTATAAAATCTTGAACATAAGAAAATTATAAAATAGAGTTTAACAGTAGTTTTACTTTTTTCAAATCCTAAACAAAAACAAATTGTAGAATAATTCTTTCAAATATTATTTATGCTCTTTTCTTCTTAAGCTAATGATTATTTTTAATATAAATATACTAAGATAATAAAAACAAAATTTGAAGATATTAATTTTAAAAAATTGTTTAAAAGTAGGAAGAAGTTAGTGTTTAATTGTAATTTTAATTTTCACGAATCCTAAACAAAATAATAAAAATAATAAAAAATTAATTTTAAATATTGTGTAAAAGTAAAGAAAATTAAGGGTGTTTAGTTGTAATTTTCCTTTTAACAAATCCTAAACAAAACAATTTGTGTGAAGTATTATTAATTACCAACTGGCTTTTCTAAAATTATAAAGAAAATATTATTGTAAACAATTATTTGATAGTAATTTTATTTTTAAATTTTTGTATATGTTAAAATAAGCATGATTAACCAAATATATATACTAAGATGATAAAAGCGATTTTACAAACAAAAGTAATTTTAAAAACTAATTAATAGCAATTTTTCTAAAAAATATTCTTTTACAAAATTTAAACAAAAAAGATTTGTAAAATAATTTATTTGATACTAATTTTCCTTTCCTAAAATAATGAAGAAATGGTAATTGAAAAATATTTGATACTAATTATCATTTTCTAAAATCTTGAACAAAAGAAAATTATAAAAGAGTGTTAGTTCCATTTTTTCAAATCTTAAACAAATAATATTTGTAGAATAATTATTTGAAATTTTTTTTATGTTCTTTTATGCTTAAACTGATGATGATTTTTATTATTGTTATATTTTTTTTTGTTGTCGTACGTTAGTTATTGTCATAGTTATACTTAGGTGTTTGTATAGAGTATAGATGTTTTGATATTGTACGTAAATTAAAATGCATATTATATTTTTATGTGTTTATTTTATAGACGCTATAAAATTAGTTATGCTGTTTTTTTTTAATATCAAATTACTTATGTTGTTGTGGTTAAACTAATGTCAATGTCATTTGTTACCTTTATGTACTATTTTATTTATGTCTGATTGTTAAAATATTTAACTAAAAACCTTAACTGTAAGAAAAGTAGTGATATGAATTGTAAAATAGTAGTTAATATAATATTTAATAGTATTGAAATAATATTATGATAGTAATCTAATTTTCGGTAATTTTAAATAGAAGATATTTGTATGATAGTAATCTCTATTTTCTAAAATCTTAAACAAAAATATAAAATAGTATTTGATAGTATTTTTGTTTTTTAAGTTATAAATAAAAGATTTTTAAAATATATTTTTTTCTTTTTCAAAGTCATAAGAAAAAATGAAAAAAAAATAAAAATTATTTAATTGTAATTTAACACATAAATATTTTGATGATAAACATGATACTAAACCAATTTAATTAAATTATAAATAAAATAGTTTATAAAATATAATGTTTTCTTTTTCAAAATCATAAGAAAAAATTATTTCTTAAAAATTATTTAATCATAATTTAAAACATAAATATTTTGATGATAAACATGATACTAAAACAATTTAATTAACAAAAAAATCAAAAATAGGATTTTGTCGTTAGGATTTGTATGTACTTGATCATACAGAAACAAACACATGTTTGGCATATTTATATTTTTGGTCATAAAAATATATTATTATTATTATTGTCAACGTAAATAATTTGTGTGTGTTTAGTCAAAAAGAAATCATGTTTCATTGTCATCTTATTACAGATGTGTTTTAATATATAGTATTTCTAATCTATTTTATTAAACTATTGTTATGAAAATATATCATTAAAATAAATTTAAAAATTATATAATAATAGACAAATTTAATAAAACGGCCTAGTTGTTAATAGAAAATTAAGTAACTGGAAAATAATTATAAATTAAGTACATATAGGAAAAATTACAAATTCAAAAACTGGAGAAAACTAAAGAAATTGTTTGAAATACAATAACTTGAATACTACATACAAAACTCCATAACATCTAAATTTATAATTTAGTGTGTAGAGTTTAATATTTAATAGATGAAACTAAGTTTATAAAATTATATTAAAATTCCAAATGATATATATGATATTAAATATTATATACTTCAAATGAAATTAGAAGAATTTATTAATTATCTGTAAGATCATCTTCTTTCACCTTATTACAATATATAATAAAATAATTTATTTATTATAAGATTTATCATCACAAATTAAGAAGTGACAATTG